CCCCCCCCCCCCGGCAGTCTCGCGGCTGGACAGCCTGGACGCGGCCGTGCACCGGCTCAACGTGCAGTTCTACACCATGGACCTGCGCCTGGCCCAGTTCTCCCAGGGCCTGGCCGAGCTGCGGGGGCGCCTGGCCGAGGCCCAGGAGGGGCTGAGCGCCCTCAACCAGACCAGCACCCGCAACCAGCAGGACATCGGCAAGATCGACGGTGAGTGCGGGGCGGTGCAGAGGGCAAAGGTCAGAGGGATAGCCCCACCATGGGGTCAGAGGGCAAAGGTCAGAGGGGTGACCCCCCCAGGTCAAAGGGGAAAGGTCAGAGATGTGTCAAAGGGGAAAGGCCAGCCAGATAGCCACATCCCAGGGGTCAGGAGGCAACGGTCAGGGGGTGGCCCCACTCCAGATCAGAGGCTGCCCCCCACCCTGGGTCAAAGGGAAAAGGTCAACAGGACAGCCACATTCCAGGGGGCAAAGGGCAGAGGGGTGGCCCCATCCCAGGTCAGAGGGCAAAGGGCAGAGGGTGTAGCCTCGCTCTGGGTCAAAGAGGAAAGGTCAATGGGGCTAACCCCACACAGATGTCAGCAGAGAGGGGGACCCAGCTGTGGACCGAAAAGGAGTCAAAGGGGACAGCAGCCCACCCCGGGTCAGAGGGCAAAGGTCAGCAGGGTGAGCCCGCCCCTGTGTTACGTGGAACAGGCCCTGGGTCAAAGGGCAAAGGGCAGTGCGTCAAGGTGCAAAGGTTGCCCTCTCGCCCCCCCCCTCCCGGGGGCGAGGGGGTGACGTGGGGGGGCAGGGCAGAGGACGTACTCACCTGCGGGTTGCAGTCGGGGGGGGCAGGAGGAAGGTCAGGGGTCAGAGGTCACACTTTGCAGAGCTGGGGGGCAATCGGAGGTCACAGGCTGTGCCCCCCCCCCATTGCAGGCTGCCTGCGGGGCCGGAGGATCCACGCCAAATGCTTCCTGATCGTTAAGCAGTTCGAGGGCTACGACGGGGCGCAGGAGCTGTGCCGGCTGCGGGGCGGGAACCTGGCCATGCCGGCCGACGCCGCCGAACTGGCCGCCCTGCGCCGCTACCTGCACGAGGCCTTCCAGCCCCACAACTGGCCGGCCTGGGTGGGCATCCACGACCGGCGGGCCGAGGGCTTGTGGCTGTATGAGAGCGGCCAGCGCGTCTCCTTCTTCGACTGGTACCAGGACCACCTGGTGAGCCAGCCCAACGGGGGCGCCCGGGAGAACTGCGTCTCCCTCTCCTCCGACGACGGCAAGTGGTGGGACAACGACTGCGCCCGACGCATGTACTACGTCTGCGAGTACCGGCTCTAGGGGGGTGGGGGCGGACCCTGCGCCCAGACACCCAGCCCCCCCCCAGCCCGGAGACCCAGCAACCGCCCCCGGGACCCTGCGCCCAGAGACCCTGCACCCCCCAGCCCAGAAATCCAGGACCTGCCTCCCCCAGGGACCCTGTATCCCCCAGCCCAGAGACCCAGCACCTGCCCCCCCCCGGGACCTTGCACCCCCCAGCCCAGAGACCCAGTACCCGCCTCCCCACAGAAACCCTCCCCCGCAGAGAATCAGTTCCCGAACCCCCACCCATCTACTCCCGACAGGACAATGACTGCACCCATCTGTGAGTACCGGCTCTGGGGGACCGTGCCCCCCCCATCCCAGAGACTCAAACCCCCCATGCCCCGACACCTGACAATGTATCACCACACGTATTTGCTCAAGGGGAAACTACTCCCACCCCCAAGAACCACCTCTGGGGAGCCCCCCTCCCCCAAAACCAGCTTTCATGGAGGAGGCAGCTGGCTGCCTGCTGCAGCAAGGAAAGGGTTAATCCCTCCCCCCCAGTGCCCCCCACCCTAGTCACAGGCTGCCAGGGCCACCCCCCGCCCCCCAAGGTCTGAACAGACCCCCAGAGATGACCCATCACCCAGGTGCTAGGGGGTCAAAGGTCATCACCCTGGGTGGGGGCACATGCAAATC